TGAAGTCTTTTGAAATAAGGTTAAATGGTATAGGATTAGATTATGTGAAAAAATAGTAGTAAAAAGTAATTTTATAAAATCAGTCACTACATTTGCGACAACATGGATAAACCCTTGATAGCATTATGCTAAGTGAAATAAGGCAGACAGAGAAAGACAAATACTGTACGATCTCACTTATATGTGAAATCTAAAAAAACCCCGAACTTAAAGAAAAAGAACAGACTGGTGGTTGCCAGACGGAGGGGGGTGGGGAGGGGGGAAACGGGTGAAGGTGGTCAAAAGGCACAAACTTCCAGTTATAAGATAAGTAAGTTCTGGGAATGTAATGTACAGCACGGTGACTGTGGGTAACCATATTGTATTGTATATTTGGAAGTTGCAAAGAGAGCAGATCTTAAAAGTTCTTATCACGAGAAAAATATTGTAACTAGGTAAGGTGATGGATGTTAACTAAACTTATTATGGTAATCATTTTGCAATATATACACGTATCAAATCATTATGTTGTACATCCTAAACTTATACAATGTTATATATCGATTATATTTCAATAAGCTTGAAAAAAGCCAAAATCAGTCAATACAAAAACAGGGTTATCTCGGGCCGGCCCCATGGCTTAGCGGTTAAATGAGCGCGCTCCGCTACTGGCGGCCCGGGTTCGGATCCCGGGTACGCGCTGACACACCGCTTCTCCGGCTATGGTGAGGCCATGTCCTACATACGGCAACTAGAAGGATATGCAACTATGACATACAACTATCTACTGGGGCTTTGGGGGAAAAAAAGGAGGAGGATTGGCAATAGATGTTAGCTCAGAGCCCGTCTTCCTCAGCAAAATAAGAGGAGGATTAGCATGGATGTTAGCTCAGGGCTGATCTTCCTCACACACACACACACACACACACACACACACAAAATCTAAAACAGGGTTATCTATGATAGAAAGGGAGCCTTTATCCTGAAAGCAAAACAAGGAAGGCTCCAACAGTAGCAGAAAGGACTTAAGATACCAATAAAGGAAAATACCTTGCCCCAGGAGCAGGGACTCACAGGGAGACACTGGAGAATCTCATTCCCTGGGAATTTTTCAGAGGATAACAAAAATCTATCCTCTGACTTCTTGACTAGGTAGAATGCTATCAAGAGGCAGAGCTATGATCTTTAAAGATCCTATAGAATTTCATTTATACCATGACTCATACTTTATTTCAATAAAAAAACAGGCTATAATTCTTTTTTTTTTCTTTTTATTTATTTTTTTCCCCCAAAGCCCCAGTAGATAGTTGTATGTCATAGTTGCACATCCTTCTAGTTGCTGTATGTGGGACGCGGCCTCAGCATGGCCGGAGTAGCGGTGTGTCGGTGCGTGCCCGGGATCCGAACCCGGGCCGCCAGCAGCAGAGCGCGCGCACCCAACCGCTAAGCCACGGGGCCGGCCCCTGGGCTATAATTCTTGAAGTCCTCTCTTGAGCACTGCTCTGGAGTATATTAGTTAAAAAGGAAAGGCTTTCCTCTTCTATCCTCTGCATATCTTCTATTATATTTCTTAAGACCTACCTCAAAAATGGGAGATACAAGAGATTCAGGTTATGCTTATAGACATGAAATCATAACCTTTGGCTCCACTGGCTCTTAGAGGGTTAACAGGCACTTGCCTTCTTGCTACTACTCATTCTTCTAGTATATAATTTATTTATTAATTTGTAAAACACTGCTGTAGCATCTAAGGGCTAACATACAAACTTAAAAACATACAAATTATTTAAATCCACCAACTAATGGAAACAAAAAATAAAAAAGAGGAAAAAAAGATGTTGATAACCTAATGGGAGAAGATCTAATGAGTGAATGGGTTTTTGAATCAATAAAAATACCCATTTAAATAAATATAAAACATTATGATATGTATCTGATCAGTAGTTAGTCAACCAGTTCTCGTTAAAAATCTATATTGTACAACACCTTCAGTAGGGGACATAAAAGAAAGAGATGAGGAATCCAATTTATAACACATACAATGACAGAAGAGATGGGTGATGGTAACCAGTTAGACGTGTAAAAGATGAGGAAGCAAAGGGTTTGGCCTGTGAGCTGTATACCCAATAAGCAATGACTCTGGAAAGATAAATGGGTGGTTGTTCATGGGCCTTGAAGGCCATCTTATTGTATAAAAAGGGTTCTAGGAGCTTGGAAATAAGTTAATGACTTCATTTCCTAGTTTTCGTCATCTAGCTTGGTTTAGCCCTCTTTAGTAATGATTTGGGGTACTAGGAGGCAATGTGGTAGAATGGAAAGAGCTCTTCATTTTCTTTTATAAAATGTGGACAATATCCTACAAGGTGTTTTGTATTCAGGACAAAACGAGATTAAATACATGAAAGTAATGGAATACTAGTTACTAAGTAACTGTTAGTTTTCTTATGCTATGGCAGAGTGGCTACAAGATGTGTGCTCCACTGAGAAGTGGCTGCCCAGCCAGGAACTGACTACATTTCCCAGTCCTACTAGCATCTAGTGTGCAATTGACTAGTTCTCCCCAATGGAATGCAAATGGAAGGGATGTTCACTGTACCCAGGCCAAGGCTGTTGAGAACCAGGTATGCCTTCTCTCTGTTCTTTTCCCATCTGCCAGCTAGATGCAGATGATGCTGAAGAGGCCCTAGATGAGGCGGAACCACAAGAAAGAAGACCTGGATACCTTAATTACCTGCGCAGAGGAGCCTCTTGACAACCAGGAACACCCATACTGACTGTTACATGACTAAGAAATAAACTATTGTGTTAAGCCACTGAAATGTTGAAGCCACTATTTGTTATAGTAGCAAGTGTTACCCCAACCAATATAAACATGCTGTATGATAAATACTATAATAATAATGGTGAGAGTGTCAGACATTGCATCAAATAAGCCATCATTAGTGCAATTACGAAATCTTGGCCAAATAGGTACATGAAAAGAAGTTCAACATCATTAGCCATCAGGAAAACGCAAATCAAAACCACAACAAGATGTTACTTCACTCCCACTAGGATGGCTACGAAAAAAAGATAGACAATAGCAAGTACTGGCAAGAATGTGGAGAAACTGGAACCCTCATACATTGCTGGTGGGAATGCAAAATGGTGCAGCTGCTTTGGAAAAGTTTGGCAGTTCCTCAAAAACTTAAACATAGAGTTACCATAAGACCCAGCAATTCTAATCCTAGGTATATACCCAAGAGAAATGGAAAGATATGTCACGCAAAAACTTGTACAGCAATGTTCACAGTAGCAATATTCATAATAGCCAAAAAGTGTAAACAATTCAAATGTTCATCAATTGATGAACAGATTAAAAAAATGTGATATATATATTTCCATCTGAAGGAATATTGTTCAGTAATAAAAAGGAATAAAGTACTGATACATGCTACAACATGAATGGACCTTGAAAACATTACACTAAGTGAAAGACGCAAGGAACAAAAGATCACATACTATATGATTCCATCTAAACGAAATGTCCAGAACATGCAAATACATAGAAACAGAAAGTAGATTATTGGGTGCTGGGGCTGTGGGAGCTGGAGGGAAATGAGGAGACTGCTAATGGGTAGAAGGTTTCTTTTTGGGGTGATGAAAATGTTTGGGAACATTAGACAGCAGTGATGGTTACACAACTCTGTGAATATACTAAAACCCACTGAACTGGGCCGGCCCCGTGGCTTAGCGGTTAAGTGCACGCGCTCCGCTGCTGGCGGCCCAGCTTCGGATCCCAGGCGCGCACCGACGCACCGCTTCTCCGGCCATGCTGAGGCCTCGCCCACATACAGCAACTAGAAGGATGTGCAACTATGACATACAACTATCTACTGGGGCTTTGGGGGGGGGGGAACCCCACTGAACTGCAGAATGTAAAAGGGTGGATTTTATGGTATGTGAATCATAACTCAATTGAAAAAAAAAAGAGGGGCCCGGCCCAGTGGCGCAGCAGTTAAGTGCACGCACTCCACCTTGGTGGCCCGGGGTTCGCAGGTTCGGATCCTTGACAAGCACCGCTTGTCAAGCCATGCTGTGGCGGCGTACCATATAAAGTAGAGGAAGATGGGCATGGATGTTAGCCCAGGGCCAATCTTCCTCAGCAAAAAGAGGAGGATTGGCCACAGATGTTAGCTCAGGGCTGATAATCCTCACAAAAAAAAAAGAAAGAAAAGAAAAGAAACCTCAGCTATTTGCTTTATCTTGCCTCGCAGAGAACGGCTCTACACAAAAAGGCACTGAGCTCTTTTCAGGTAATAACTGGGAAAAAGTATGAGAGAATCTTCTAGGATGCGGGAAATGTGCTAATTTTGATCTGAATGGTGGTCACATGGGTATCTATACATATAAATATTCATTCTAGGCATGATTCTAGGCTGGTCAGCACTCACACAATCCTTCCACCTGGCTTCCCTCACAACCAGGTAAGCCCAAAAGGAGCCCCAATCCCATATGCATGAAATGCCTCTGTTCATCTATAGCGACCTAAGGTACAAGCTTTCCTTAGTTTAGGTAACAGTGTAGCTAACATGGAGATGAGATAAATTTAAAGCTAACCCTGAGAATGATATGAGGGTGGGGAACAGGGGATAGAGTACCAGAATAACTCCTAAAGTGTGTATTGCATCAGCAAAATTCTCTAAGAAAGAAAGAAGTCCTAAAGGGGTAGTGTGGGATGTGGGGGGAGGACCCAAGAGAGGATTGCATATGGAAAGCATCTTTCTTTTCTCTGCTTAGGTCCATGCCATTTTCAAAAGTCAAGTTCAAACCACAAAATAAGGAAAGCTTGTTTGGTCATATAAAATAAATTCTCATCTAAGTACTTAATAGTCAAAACTGAAGTAACAGATCATAGGAATGTTTTCAACATCTAAATAAGAATATAATTTGGTGATTCCATGAATCTTCATTGGAAACTTCTGAATCCATCGGAAAAACTCTTTTAAATTGGAATAAATTTCTGAAATGATGTAACTTACTTGCAGGAGACTTTAGTTCTGTCGGCTACCATGGTCCACTGTTGCTGGTTGGTGGAAACCTCAACGTAGTAGCTATAGCTTCGATCGTCACAGTCCCAAAGCAATAAGCTGAATAAAGGGAAAAACACAAGAATGCTGTAATGTTCTAACTGGCTGTTTCCTTAAGCTGTAGGCATGAGGGAATCTGTCTACTCTATCCCTCCTACCTGTCTCCTTTGTCCCACCGCACCTCCAGAACTAGAGAAAGAAAGTGAATCCTCAAACAAAAGGATGATGAGAGAAGGTGGAGTCAGTCTGCAGCTTTTAGAAAGGTTTCAGAAAGCATAAACAGATTACACCTATTGATTCCCTTTAATTCACCTGAGTATTTAATCTCTCGAAGTACTCTGAGAGAATCAGACAGGATTCTACCCTATTATTTTTAAGTGTCCAATCATTCTACTCTTACATTATACCAGCCTGCCTGATAAGAAAGTAAATCATTTTCCTCATTAGTCATTTCCTCGAATATTACTCTAGTCTCTCAGCACTTTCATGCAGCTAGCCTATATTAATTTATATTTGAGTAACGTAAAAGTGTAGTTTTTGCTTTATGTTTGGCTCTCAGAATGATTACAAGCCTTTTAGAAAGATCATTGATCTTTCTCTTTTTAAAAAATTCTACTCCAAACATGTGGGCTCTGTTCATAGTATATGTTTCATACATGTTCTGGGTTGAAATCATTCATAGCTCTGTCAGAATAGATTAAAACCAGGAAACAAACTCCAAATTAATTCATCATTGTCTTCACTTAACAGCCCTGGTAACAGGCTTTTTGGGAGTCAATGTTGAGGCTACTGCCCCATTGGGATTTTGGATTATTCATGGAGAGCCAGGTTTCTCCTAATCCCTATCCTTCCGGATAATCAAGAGCTAGCATTTCGACCAGTGTATCTAGAGGAAAATAATCAGTACCTTTTGGGATAGATCTAACCAGATCTCAAAATATTTCATGGAAAAAGACGGCCCCAAGGATATGGGATAAGGAGAACACAAAAAGGAAGACCAATTATGAGTATCATAAATGCTGTAGTAGAGATTCTTGGAGTGACAGCATATTAAAAGAATTTTTGAAGTTGTGCATATTTTGTCTCCTAGTAGCTTATTCTATAAAGTCCTCCAATTTGTTTCAAGGCAAATTATTATTTAAAAATTATTTTATAATTTATTAATTTAAAATTATTATTTAAAAATCACCTGTAATTCCAGTAATTTTGTAAACACACGCATGTGGTACAAATTGTAACTTGCTTCTTTTGCTTAATGATCTATTATGAATACCTTTTTTGTATCATCAAATATTCTTCCTCATCATCTGTACTGGCTTCACAGAATTTCATTGTATGGATGTCCTTTTATTTAATTAGTCTCTTATTACTGAATACTTAGAGAGTTGATATATTGCACTGTTAAGAAAACTCTTTGATGAACAGTCTGAAGCTAAACCTATGATTATTGCCTTTGAAAGTTTCTGTAAATGAAACTCCTGGAGCAGGCACGTGAGGCCTTGATATATATTCCAGAACAGCTGCATACCACTCCCCTCTCCCCAAACAAAAGTCTATACCAATTTATACTGACACTACCAGCAGTGTATAACAAATGGCTGTTTCTGGGCATCATCACCAATAGTGTGTATTATTTTTAAAAATACTGCCAATTAGATGAAATATATCTCATTAATTTGCAGTTTTTTTATTTATCACTGAACTTGAACATTTTACCCATTTTCTGCTTATATTTATCCTTTTGTTAATGACTTACAAGATGCCCTCTACATTTAAAGGATATTAACCCACTGCCTATCATAATTTGCATGAAGATATTAATTTTTATTAGCCTAGTCTATCGATCTTTACCTCAGTAATTTCTCCTGGCGTAAATTCTTTTTTCTGAACAGCAGCCAAATGCATACACTGGTTGAGACATCTCTTCTCTATTCCTCTATTAAGAGTCCCTGGGGGCTGGAAATGTGGGGTCATGGTGACTTCTGAGTGGAAAAGAGACACTGATGGATCTCAGGTTATCAAGCTGAGGGCTCAGACTCACCTACACTTCAGAGTTTTTAAGAGAGTTTCTAATTTATGTGCCAAGATGCATATTTGCTTGGAATATAGGCTTAGCCAGGAACAAAAATCCCTTTGTTGATTCAGCTGAAAAAACCTAGCACAGCCTAAGGACACCAAAGGGAAAACTGGCTCAATTTCTTTTTTTCCATGGAGAGGAATTTTGTTCTAATAAGACACAACTGAAAACCCCATCAACTCCCTTCACTTCTTTCCCTGCCAGCAAAGTCTGTTCCTATATCTCTCCACCCGCAACAACACAGAGATATTTCTGGCTTGTAATCTGCTGGGGAATGTTTGCCCAGTGAGCTCGCCCAGGACAGACATGCTCCCTCTGACTTTAACTGACAGGAGCGCCTCAAATATACTCCCCACATCTACACATCTCCACCCATACACCAGAAGCCATTTTCAAAAGGGGCTGAATAAAGGAAGCCTCTGGCCAGGATCTATTGAGGCAGATCGGGTCTCTATTTAGCTATTGCCACAAATCCCTCTACCTAATGAGCACTGCATGAAATGCCTGATGAAATTAAATGTGGTCTCCTCCATCTTCCCTTGTTCTCACTGTGGAGTTTCCCTTAAAAGCAGTGAAGGGCTGGGCTTTTTTTAATTGATTAGCAGATGTGATTTTGCTTACATCTTCCATAAATGCTCTGGCTGGCTGCATACCATTGATTACCAAGGTTCCGTTTACAGCAACTAATTGCTCTTCTTGCTGGTGTTTTGATACAAAATTCGATAGCAAATATGTTTTCAAAATTCTTGTCTTTGCGGCTTGAGTCAGAAGTGACTTGAGGCAAACCCAGTGGACTGAGTTTTCCCTTCTTTAGAATAATTGCTCTCTCATCAGTCTGTGAAGAAAGTTTCCAAATTGTAGCATTCTAATTGGAAAGTCTGCATTATGCATGCGATGACAAACTATGTTGTGCTGAATGGCATTTTTTCCATCCCTTTCTTAAGGGATTAATTCTGTGCCAGATTGTGAACAATGGCTGAGGTTTCACAGTTGAGATCAAGGAGCTTCTCCAGGGAACTGGTGTCTTTTAGACCAGCAGCAAGTGTCTGTTTTGCCTGTTTCTAAACGTCCATCGTTTGTGGGAGACTCCAGCGGAAGGCATGGGGCCACAACTGCTGCTGTTGCAGAGTTTTCCCATTTGGGTGAAAACAGACAACTAAGGGAAGATCAACTGCCAGGATATTAGTAATATATATAATAATAATTTATACCATCAAATCCATTTCTAATTTCTCAGTCAAAATCAAAGCTACTTCTGACCTTAAAAATCTGTACAGACTATTCTGTGTTAAAGATCTTCAGAAATTAAGTTCTTTAGAAATAATTGTCTTCCATTCAACAATTCAACAAATATTTACTGAGTATTGACTAAGTGACATTAGGTAAGTCACTTAACTTACTTATACTTCAGTTTCATCTCTTCTGAAATTAAAGATCTAGATTTGATGGTTTCTCAGGGCTCTTCCAGTTCTAACATTTATAATTCTCTACAACTGTATATGCAGTAGAGGTGGGTTTTTTTGGTTGGTTTGTTTTTGGCATATCTGTCCATTACACAGTAACTTCTCTCTTTGAGAACTGTTTCTGGCTCAACCTTGAGGTGGACACAGGGGGTTCTGAGCTTGGTTTGTAGACCTGACTGCATTCTAGGAAGACACGTGACCCATGCTGAGCCAATCAGATTTCGTCCCTCCAAAATTCAGAATTTTGTGAGATTCTAGCTTAACTGGCCCTGTTCATTTCGTGGACATTAATAAAAGAAACCTTAACTAAACTGGAGTAGGAAAGGCCTGTAGGAGAAGCTCTCATGCCCTATCATACTTTGTCAATTACAGCAAACAGGAAGAGAGGGATGCTTGCATCTTGGACAGGAAGTAAAACTACTTTACCGCTGAAGGAAGACTTCTCTCCCTACCCAGCAACAGCCCAGCCAATGAGAAGCCATTGCTGCCTTGAACTGCTACTTTCCCCAATGGTCTTTCCTTTTGAACAGCCCCTGCCTACTCCCCCTTTTCCTCTATAAAGGCAGCTCAGCTCTCCTCCTTTGTTTTCTGGATTTCCCTATGGTTTGCCACAGCATGCATATCCCAAATTGCAATTCTTTTCGCTATTCCCAAATAAACTCATTTTGAGATAAAATAACAGGCAAATTTGCTTTTTTAAGTTGACAACTTAAAATGACATGATGAAAATGCAGGCCTTCTGGGGTGACCCTCTTTCATCAGAGGCACAAAGAGCAAAGAAAGTCAGCTGCAGTGAGAAGCAATGAAGACAGATAGTGTGGCCCAGGGAGGGTTGTCAGGCTCCTGGCAGAATTTCAATACCTGATTTTAGTTCCTACGAGGGACACCAGAGTGTATGACCTAGTGTTCCATGAGAATCTCCCAATCATTTTAATAAACTCACCATGTATGGCTTAAGCCATCTTTACCTGGATTCTGAAGCTTGGAACTAAAAGGGCCTAAGACAAGCTCCTAGCAGAGTGCATTAGGCAGAAAAGGTACTCAACAAAGAGCAGGTATTCCAATGACGAGAATGGACCAGAGACAATGAAGTGAAGAACAGGGACGGAGAGGAAGCTCATTTTGGATGGCAATCTTTTCACGCAAGTATGAAGAAGAGTCTTTGCAGAGCTGAGAGTGGTAGGACCACAGTGTGGGTTGGAAAGGCAACACAGGCTTTGGAATAGGTTCCATGGGGCCAGCTGAACTGCAGGGAAGGGGCCTTCCAAAGATGGACCAATCAGCACAGTTTATAATTCTCCCTAGCAGCAGCACTGAGGGAGCAGGAGAGAAGAAAGCAGGGTCGACAGTGACAAGGACGACACAGTGCAGGGTCAGAGAAAAGAAGGGCCAGTTAAGAGTATTTACCGCTTCTAGGCTGCTGAGGAGTTAAGTGGGGTCAGAGGGGGCTGACTAACTTTCGCAATAGAGAGGGACTGGAGGTCACGGAGCAAAAGAAGAGATGCAATAGACATGAAGGT